ACACAAGGCCCTGTGTGAAGGGCTGGGTCTTTTGGAATGGCTACAGCATAAGAAGCAAAGATGTTTCCTTAAATAACTGATTCATGGCAGAATCTTGCTGGGTAGAGTTGGAAGAGAGCCTAGAGGTCATGTGGTTTAAACTCGTTTTCCAGGATGACAAGAACTGACTTGCTCTACTTATTCCCACAGGCTTTGGGGGAAAGGCTCAGTGAGATAATAAAAACAATAGTGTTTTACTCTGCTCAGCCTTCTAGGCTGGGAGGCAGGTGCTACTGCTATGCTCACTTCACACACAGGGAAACCATGATGTTTAGAAGTCCGGCAAGTAGTTTACCCAACATCATGCAGCTAGTAAGTGATGGGACTAGGGTTTCAGCACAGTGGATCCCCTATTCTGTGGGTACCAGCCCAATTCTGGAGGGTGGCTAGGACAACTGAGATGAAAAAAGCTGTACTAGGTGGGTGGGTAAGTGCTCTCAAGATGGTGAAGCACTGTGCAGACACAAACTATTATTAGAAAGGGGCAAAGGACCCAACAAGTGCTGTGGTTCTCAGGGAAATTTTGTGAAGATCTTCAGTAGGAGACAACAAGTGCTTGGATCTGGGCCTACCTGCATTTCTTGGAATGAGGAGTGTCTGGTTTGTGTGGCAGGGGGTTGAGGTTTCCTTGAACCTTTCTCCAGAAGCATAAAATTACAGATAAGCTAACTGGAGTCTTGGCCAGGTGAAGTGGCCAGGGCCACAGGAAGCCCTAGGCAACTAAAGCAAGATGGGGGCCAGTGAGAGGAGATAAAGGAAGATTAGGAGCAGGCAGAGGCACATTCAAGCCCTGGCTTTCTAGCACTTTCTCGTTAGGAGGTCACAGACAAGCTGCTCCACAATTCTTGCCTCAGTTCCTCAGTGGCAGATGGAAATAATAGTCTGCACTTAAGCAGCCTATGTAAGCTGAACTAGCCTGTGTGAAGTGGTTGCTATGACCCCTGACACAGAAGCATTCAACAGGAGCTTGCTGTTGCCACTTTCATCGTTAGCATCACAGACACCTGGCTGGAGCTACTGTCCAGGGAAGGACAGTTGAGCACTGTATAGTCTGCTTTCCTGACTGGACTCAGGCAGTGCTGGGCTGGTCTGTAAAGTAACACACACTAACTGCCATCTCTCTACTGCCTCAGTGCTGTCCATATCAGAGCTGGTTTTCAGGGAAAAGCCAGGACCAGGAAGTAGAGGAAGTAGATGCTGACAGGCTGCCCATCTTGCAAACTTGGGCTAAACAGCCTACTCCTCAGTAATTTCTTTGTTGTTACTCTCATTTCTGACATTCTCCTTCTATAGCTTTGTTGGGATTTCTAATATTCTCTTTCTCTCTCTCGGCAGTTGAAACTAGCATCATACTCATGGCAATTCTCCTGCCTCGGCTTCCTACATGCTGGGTTCATAAACATAGAAGCTATCATGTTTAGCTCTGAACCCTTCTGGACGAACCTCCAGCCCTGTACACAGTGCTGTTATTCTCAGAGACACATACACTCCTGCAGAGAAAATGCACATAGCACAGGCATCCCTCTTTTAAGTGGGATAATGGCACAGTAGGAGGATGTGTGCTAGGATGAGAAAAAGGAAGAGGACCTTTACTGACAGACACCCCTCCATGGGATCAGGCTTGGCCAAGGAGCCTGCATGTCTTCATTATACAGTCATGAAGGGAATGTGCTAAACTCCATTGCATAAGTGAAACTTGCCTGGGGCCACAGTCAGTCTGCAGACAGGGGAACCTGGTTAGAAATCTGTTCAACACCAGAGTCAGCTCTTCTTTCACAGCATATGAGAGGATCATAGTATTGGAAAATGACATAAAATCTAAAACCGGAGAAAACCCATCGATCGCTTCAGAGCTGTTGGGCTGGGGCAGCCTACTTTGGAAAGAGTACTTACTGCCTATTCCATGGATGGCAGAACCACTCTGCTTGCAGGCTCCCACTTCTGTAGGAAGCAAAGGGCTGGAAGAGGCCAGCCACTCAGCCTTTTGTCTGGGGAGAAAGCTTCAGCTTACTGCCATCAGCAAACCCACGAGGATGTGACTGCCTGTGTTTTTCTCTTTTCCATTGCTCAGCTACTTTCTGTCTAGAAAGTAGAGGGCAAGGGGTCTGAAGCACAAGGAACTATTTCTGGACTCTGGCCTTTGGATTTGCAGCCATACCCTGTTTATACATCCGCTTTCCAGATTTGCACAGCTTGACCAAGGCCAGGTAAATAGAGGCAACCAAATAGTCTCCAGTCAGCAGATGGCCATTGAGCAACCATGGGAGCCCAGAATCCTGTGCTGAGTACTGTTTTAGTGCTTCGGGTCTCTTGACCTAAGGCTGCCAGAGTAGAGGCCTAGCACTGCAGTAGAGGGGGCTTGATGATGACCGTGCAGTGCAGCTCAGAGGGCCCGTGGATTACTCTTGGTCCAGTTTGTTACAGTACCAAAATGAGTAGAGGAAGGGAAGAAGAGGAAGAAGGAAGTCTCACACAAACAGCAGTGTGTATCTGAATGAGGGAGGTCTCCTGCACAAAACAAAATCAGAACAAGGGGCCCGTGGCCAGACTTTGAAATTATTTTCTTCAGCTGATCAGGTGGAAACAGAATGCAAGCATGTGGCAGGGTCAAATGGGCTGTGAAGTGTCCTTTACTTAGGAGGCAGGCCCACTTTCATGGCTCCCAGTTTGTGCCCAGGTTGTCAGCTTGAGAGAGGGAGGGAGGGAGGGAGGGAGGGAGCGAGAAGTGAGAGGGGAAGGAAGGAAGGGAGAGGGAGGAAAAGGGAGGGGAGGGGAGAAAGGGAGGGGGGAACCCTGTGTCTAGAGTCACAGAAGGGAGTCCAGGGACACAGGGCCAAGCCCCTGCTCTAGTTTCTTTGTTGCTGAGACAATCACAGTCTTGGAAGGGTTTGTTTGACTCCTATTTCCAGGTCTCAGTCCATCAATGATGGAAGCTAAGGCAAGAACTCAAGGAACTCAAGGAAGGAAGGAGGCAAGAACTGAAGCTACATCATGAAGGAACAGGCTCAGTCACCTTGCTCTTTTAGATCACCTGCCCAGGGGTGGCAGTGCCCCTGTGGGCTGAACTCCCACACCCATCAACAATCAAGAAAATGTTCCACAGACTTCCCAACAGCCAATCTGATGGAGGCTTTTTTTTTTTTTTCAACTGAGGTTGTCTTAGAAGATGACTTTAACTTGTGACAAATTGATAAAAACAAAATGAGACAAAACAAAAATTAACCAGCACATAGGATCAATAACTTGATTTTTTTTTTTTTTTTTTTTTTTTTTACATCCTGAAGCCCCAGCACAAAATGAGCCAATTTCCCCCTGCCTAACAGTTATTTCAGAGATGTTAGCTGTAGACACTTCATCTTCAGGGACTGGAGAGATGGCTCAGTAGTTAAGAGCACTGGTTGTTCTTTCAGAGGTCCTGAGTTCAATTAAAGCAACCACAAGATGGGGGACCTGATCCTCCCCCCCATTTCTGCTATGCAGGTGTACTTGCAGATGAAGTACTCATATACATAAATAAATCTTTTAAAAACCCCTCATCTTCAGTCTTTACTTCCAAGGCTGTTTTTGTTTAGTATTGTAAGGAGGGGAACAACCCCAACATTTGCATAGGGATCTGTAAATAGGTGAAGTTGTGCCATAGAACAGAAGAGGATTTGAGAAGTGACCTGATCCTCCACTAATCGGAATCCCAGCCTCTCCTAACTGGCCTCTGTCCTTCTGCTCTTGCTTCCTGGGGGTATGCTCTCCACACATCAGGCAGCAAGCAACATGATCTAAAAACAAACAAAAAAAACAAGCACTATCTTGTCACTTTCCTATTTAAAACTCTCCAGATGCCATCATAGGTCACTGGGCCCACAGGACTTGCCACCTGCTGACTTAGTTCTTTAGAACTCTTCTTACAGTCCACCGCCACGCCATGCCAAGCGGCTTTCAGATCAGAGCTCAGCAGATGATTAGGATCTTTGTAGCAGCTATTCCCTTTGCCCAGCCTTTGTTCTGGTCACCTGTCATGGAGGTCTTTCCTAACCACCCAAACGAAGACTCCTAGTCTAAACCCACATCCCTGTTTCACAGCAGATGGTGATAATACTAATCCAACATCATTTGTCTGCTTCCTCCACAACAACTCCAGGGAAGAAATCCCTGATGCTGACCAAAGCCTGATACGTGGATGACTTATAGCATTCCTTGGATAAATGCTATTTTCAAATCCTAACAATTCTGTGACGTATGTGAGACAACAGAGGTTCTGCAGGCTCAGGACTAGTTCAATCTGGCTGACTGCTGCCTTTTAGCTCTTTATTTTACACACTTAATCCCCCATTCTTGGGCGCTCAGGCTTTTAGTTCCTTCTAAGCGTAGCGGCATTTATTCCTTTCCAAATTTCAAAGACTCAGAGACATACAGACCTTTTTCAAAAGTGGTTCTTTTGGGTACTCGTACTCCCGCCCGACCTCCCCCCCCCCCCCATCATAGGCAGAAAGTATTCCACACAGCCATAAAACTGGGTGGGCTCTCTAGCCCGTAGGTTAAGTAGCCTTCTCTCCGCCCCCCAGTCTTGACTAAGGATCCCAGGGTCCTGTGGGGGTGAGGAGACAGCTTCTTGCGTCAAGGACACTAGGGACTTTCAAGCCCAGAATTAGGGCTCGGCTAACTGCGCACAGCGGAACCTTTCTTTAGAAGGCCTCGTTTGCTCGCCGGTCGGTTTAGGAAGCGATACCTACTTAAGCGTCCCTCCCATTCCCTCCTTCCCTCCCTCCCTTCGGCCCTCTGCGGAGGCTGCCTTCCTCTCGCCCTAAGTTCCGGGGCCGGTTCTGCCGGAGCGTTCCGCGAACACCCACGAGCAGCTCGCGGCAGCCCTCCTCGCCTCTCGCCACTTCGGACTGCTGGTGGGCGAGTGCCCGCGGTTTTCCTACAGCGAGGGGCGAAGCGAAGGCCGTTCCGGGCCCTCCGGTCGAGCGCTAGGCAAGCGCGCACATCGCTCGCTATCCGGGGCGCGCGTGGGCCTCTCGAGACCCCAGCGGCGACCCGTAGCTCGGGCGCGCGCCTGTCGCAGCCCGCAGGAAGGAGGCGGCCTGAGGCCCGGGGCGGCGGCCGCCATGGAGATCTCCTCGGCCCAGGGCCGGTGCCTGGGGCCTCGGGGGCGGCCCTGACCGTCCTCCTCCTCGCCCGGGCCGGGTCACAGTTGTGCCCCCGGCGGCGCTCAGCCACCTCTGTGTCTCCGCCCTCGCTGGGTCGCGCTGCTGCCTGGGCGCGGCGGCGGCGGCGCCCTGTTGAATGGGCTGTGAGGGCCCGGGTCTGAAGTGCTGGCGGACGCGGCCTCCGGGGGCGCAAGGCAGCAGCAGCGGTGGCGACCAAACGGGTGTTGGAGTTGGCGGCGGCCATGGAAGGCCTGGCTGGGTATGTGTACAAGGCGGCCAGCGAGGGCAAGGTGCTCACTCTGGCTGCCTTGCTCCTTAACCGGTCGGAAAGCGATATCCGCTACCTGCTGGGCTATGTCAGTCAGCAGGGAGGACAGCGCTCCACACCCCTCATCATCGCAGCCCGCAATGGGCACGCCAAGGTGGTGCGCTTGCTGTTAGAACACTACCGTGTGCAGACCCAGCAGACTGGCACCGTCCGCTTCGACGGGTAGGTACATCCCAACTCCAGCCTCCCTCGGACGCGCGCGGACCTCTCAAGTCCTAGATCCCCCCCCCCACGTCTTTATGTGTGGACTCACTTCTCCTTTTCATACCCCCTTCAGCCCCCATTGATGCCCACCTCTTCTTCCAAGGCTATGTTTTTGCTGTCTTTTCTGATCCGCTCCTACCCTATTCCCCCTGTAGGTGGTAGCCACACCCTGGGTCTTGAGATCTATAGTCTTCTCCATTAGTCAGCGAACACACAGGGTCGGAGTGGTGGCTGCTTCTCTAGGTTTTTAATACCTTTCTGTCAGCACTGTCGTTTTAACCGAGATGGAAAATTAACGACATCAGCAATTAAAATTGAAGACCTTCTGGTGCTTTATTGAGCATCTCCATGTTTTTACCCCGGTGTGGTCGGATCGACCTTCAAGCAGATCTCTAGGGCTTTCTCTCGAAATAAGCCCCTAGAACGAGTAGTAGATGCAGACCCTTGATTTCGTCATGCAGCCGGGCATCTCTAGACATGATTTTGACTCTCCTACATTGCTGGCCGGTATTTTTGGCTGCACAGGTGGCTCTGGACCTGGTGTAGCAGTGACGCCATTGTTAAATTACATGTTATGAGGTGCTGTGGTGGGAAGGCTTCATGAACACTTAATATCATTCAAAAATTACTATTCTAGTTAAATTTTTTCCTTTGAGGTTAATCGTACAAGATAGCAGAATCGTCATGTCTGAAGGATTATGGAATGATTGGCACATTACAACTGCGTGCAGAGTTTGCTTTGTTGATTACATTGATTTTTGTTGATCCCCAAGTAAATAAGCTATTAATATTTTAGCATTTTCTTCTTTTGAAATAGATGGAATTACGTTTTGGTTAGTAAAAATTGCCTGACCAAAACCTTTTTGAAAAGCTGTATGTATTTATCTATCTGTCTATCCATCCATCTATCTTTGTCTTTCTTCCTGCTCTTCTTTCTCTTTCTTTACTAATTCTATTTTTCAAAACCAGGTCTTGCTACATAGCCCGGGCTGGCCTGGACTCCCCCAATCTGCGTTAGCTTCTTAAATGCTAGCATTATAGGTATGGGCTTTAAAACATTTTTTTCTTTGTTTTAAGATGACTAAGGTAATTTTAAATTCTGGTTGCTCCCCCCCCCCAAACAATAAAAGCTTTTGGTTCTGTTTTAAATGAGAGGGAAATGATTTGGACTATTATAGTCTAATGAAATGCCAGCCCTGGGTCGTGACTTATATTTGGTCCTACTGTAGATAGTAGGAAGGTGGTGTTGAGCAAAGATGGCAACCTGATTCATTTTTTGTTTCCCCCCTTTGTTTCTGTGTCCTGGAAATTTCCAGCATCTCACAGCCTTCCTTACCTAGAGGAGTGAAGCTTGGTGGCCCCACCTGTGTCTACTAAGTTAGGAGTGAATCCCTTCAATAGGACCTTGCTGAGCTCTGGGTAGGGAAGTGATTAGTTCTCTTAAGAATTTAGAAACATTCTGGATAATGCTATCTTCTTGGATCATCAAAGAGAAAGCTGTTTTGAGGTGATAATTAAAAACCTAATACCAACTGTGGTTATGTATGCCTGTAATCCCAATACTTGGGAGGCAGGACAGTCATGTAATTTAAGGAGATCTTGGTATGTAAAGTGAGTTAACAGGCCAGCCAGAGATACATAGACCCTGTTGACAAAACAACACCCCCAAAACTAAAAACAAACAAGTACCCCTCCCCCTAATTCCTGAAATGACTGAAAATGCAGTTGTGAACCTATGTATCTGAGTATCTTGTCACCATTCTGCACAAACTAGTGAGACTAGGGAGCTCTAAAGCAGACAGATGTCAGACACCTACTATGTGCCAGGCTTTTGATAAGGATCTGTATTCAGAGACAAATGAGACTACAAAATTTTCACAGTAGAGGCTGACAGTTTGGCTGGGGGTGTGTGTCAAATATGAGTAATTGCAGATGCCCTGCCATTTAGGCTTATAGGAGGAGTCTTTGAGGCTGCTGAGGGAGAACAGAGGAAGAGGAAGTGCTCATCTTTGTGGTGGTGGAGAATAAAGGCTTTACAGAGGAGGTAGTATTTGAGCTGGACTTTAAAGAACAGTGGGACATGAAGAGAAGATAACAGTCTGGTATCCTTCAATGCTTCAGTACTTATTGCAAGAAGAGATCTAAGCTAGATTTAGAAAGAGTATGGGATACTGGGAAGATGGCAGAGATCAATTGAGAAAGGATATGAGGTCCAGGGGAGATGCAGGGATCAGTTGAGGGAGAGAATATGGGATATTGGGATGCAGAGATCAACTGAGAGTGTGGGGTACTGGGAGAATGGAGAAATCACTTGAGAGTATAGGGTACTGGGAGGATGGAGAGATCAGGTTTTCATGTTATTCATAACAAAAACTGAGGGAGACTAGTGAAACTGCAGCCTAAGTATTGCCACCATTTGCAGTTTTGCCAGAGGAGGCGCCTAGAATCTATGTTTATTAGCCTGTGGATTGTTATGGCTAAGAGCTGTTGTATTAAAGTAGCTTGATGTTTTATTCTTTAAATCCCTGTAGTAGGTTCAATCCTGAGTCATATTTTGTGGAGAAAAAAATTAGAAGATTTTTACTTTTGACAAGTGTACAGTTAATAAAAGAGAAGGGTTGAAGTTCATCCTTCTGACTCTCAAGTTTGAGATGATTGTAGTTTATTTCAGAGATTTTGACATTTGAGAACCAGGAAAAGTTGGTGATTTATACATGTGATGGTTTTTTCACTTCCCTAATTTCAGTCATTTAGAGGCTGCTAGCCAGAGTGCTGGTAACAATATGAAGCTCATGTATTAAAGGCTAGCTTTTTTAAGGATTTGTTTTTAGTTATGTCTGTATGGGGTCATGACCATGTGAGTGAAGGTGCCTGAAAAATCCAGAAGAAGGCATCAGGTCCTCTGGAGCTGGAGTTGCTTTGCAAATAAATGGTTGTGAGCTGTCCAAGGTGGGTCCTAAGACCAGAACTCTGGGTTTCTTCAAGAACAGTTATGTGCTGTTATTGTGCCATATCTTTAGTTCTTAGCCTTTTTTTTTTTCTTCTCTTTCTTTCTGTCTTTCTTTTTTTCTTTTTCTTTGTTTCTTTCTTTCTTTTTTTTTTTTTTTTGAGACAGGATCTCACTGTATAGCCTTGGCTGGCCTGGAGCTTGCTATATTGATCAAGCTGGCCTTGCACAGAGATCTGCCTCCTAATATTGGATCAAAAGCAAACACCACCGTGCTCAGCCTAGTTTTTGTTTTTAAAAACAATTTTTATGGCACTGGGCACAGTTACAAAGGTGCTCTACCAATTTCCTATGTCCCCACCCTTGGGCTGGATTTTGAAAAGTTACTGTCTTCCTTTAGATTTTGTTGGCATTTGATACCCATGACCAGGTGGGAGCCAATAAGGCTCTTCATGTATACTGAAGTAGATTTAATGTTTCTAATTTGTAGGTATTTATATACATCTTCACAAGTTTTAGGAAAGGTCGTTCATTTATCCTGTTGTTTACTAAATATAGTCTTTAAAGTTTCAGGTGTTTGCTTGGTAACTTTGCTGTAACATATCTCATTTTAGTTTCATCTTGCACAGCAGTGTCCGTGTAATGACAGGTTCCATATGCTGTGTTTTGTGTGTATATTTATTTGTGTAAGAGAGACAAACACATAACAATTATTTGTGTTGTTATATTTACTTTTGAATTAGGGACTTGTTATATAGCCCAAGTTGGCTTAAAACTTAAGTCCTCCCTGGTGCTGGGATTACTTACAGGTATGTGTTGCCATGCCCACTTTAGGGTTTTTTGTTTGTTTACTTGCTTTTGTTGTTTTTTAAGTCTGTATGTCTTAGTTTTTTTTTTTTTTTTTCATATTGCTATGATAAAATATTCTGACAAAAGGAGCTCAAGGAAGAAAGATTTTTATTTCCACTCACAGTTCAAGGATCCATCATGGAGATGTCAAGGTAGTAGCAACTTGAAGCATCTGTCCTATCACATCCATATTCAGGAAGCAGAATGATGGATGCTGGTGCTCAGCTCACTGTTTTCCTTTTTATACATTCCAGGACCATGCTAGGCATGGTGCTGCCTGCTTTCAGTGTGGATCATTTTACCTCAATCTTCCTAAATCAATATAATTCCTATTAGACATGCCTGGAGGCTCAATAATCCCTCTCTCACAGGTGTGCCTGGAGGCTCATCTCCTAGATAGGTCCTGATCCTTGTAGTTGACAAACCGTCACACTATGTTCTACCTAAAGCTTTTATAATCTCTTAGGAAACCAAAGTGGATTCATAGGCTAGGCTCTAGATCAGTGGTTCTCTGCCTGTGACCTCTTTAAAGGGGTTGCATATCAGGTATTTGCATCATGATTCATAATAGTAGCAAAATTACAGTTAAGTAGCAATAAAAAAATACTTTTGTGGTTGGGGTCACCACAACATGAGTACCTACAGGGTCTCAGTATTAGGAAGGTTGAGAACCACTGCTCTAGAAGTAAGGGATCACCACCTAGATTAAGCCTTTTGTTAATAATTTGATTCCTTGTTCATAGTTTTTGGAATAATATTTGATATTTTGCTTATGGCTCAGCATGTGGACACTGGAGTTGGCAAAGGTGAGTAAAGAAGAGCTACAGAAAGGGAACAGAACAAAGGAAAGCTCTTGCAGCTGTGGAAGAATTGTGCTGACTTAGGTTCTGAGGGCTGACTCCTTTGTGCCAGAGTTTGGGAACCACTTGTTCTTGAGCAGGTTTAGTGAGACATGGGTGGGGAAGACACAAGGTGGGAGAATGCTGAAGTCTTTTGTTGAGTGTTCTTTTCCAAGCCAGTGCTAGAATGAACACCCAATAAATGTCTAGTGAAAGGAAAGGCAAGAGAGTCACATCCTCCATCAACTTTGCTTACAAAAAATTGGCAGGGAGCTCGATTGGCCATTGGTCTTGAGAATGATTTCCAGGACTTTAGTTAAGGC